AAACACTGCCTGCATTTTCTAGTACAAAAAAAACCCCTAAAAATTGTTTCATGAATGTAGAGAAATATCCAACTTAAATAGCAAAAAAGTGCACTATAATTACTGCTGCAGTGCAGTCATTTCTGCATTTCCCATGTTTCTTAAATAACTATCTTGTCCGATAACACACAACATAAAGAGCAATACGAAACACAGACATTTACATATACTTCTAGTCTTACTGAGAATATCCCGTTGGCATTGGATAACCAATCATGGGCGCAGCTGCAGTAGCAGGATATGCATATGCCTGTTGGTTCATACCATTGTGCATATTGGGAACGTTACTTCCATATTGCTGAGTGCTATCATAACTGTTATGGGAAGTCCCTGTTTGATTACCAGTCCTAAAACTGGTCTGTATACCAACAGACACAAAGTTACTTCCAAAGTTCCCATTGGTGTAATTTGCAGCAGCACTGTAAACACCATTCTGAGTTTTTGTCCCCAAATCTTGCTTAAGCAAGCTAGAGTAACCTCTTTCATAATTGTCCCTGTCTCTAAAGGTATTAAATCCACCCCTTTTGCCCACAGAGTATCTGTCCCGTCGGTCATCTTTCATGCCTCCTCTAACCCTGGAATGACCTGTCAAAAAAATAATTGCAAATTCATCAATTATATCTATGGCAGAATTCACTGCTGACACAATTAGATAACTCTACTCATTGCAGGTGTGAACGGACGTCTTTACAAGTTTTCAACTTATGCTTCACACTGGAGTTTACTCACCCTCCATTCCCATTTAAATGGACTTGTAGACAATGAAGTGACTCAAAACTACCAACATTTCTTAGGAAGGTTGGCCTCACCTGAACCTCTGTCTTCAAACAACTGAAGCAATGTGGGATTAATTGCTTGATTAGCTTCACGAAGCACAGAGATAAGATCGCTCACTTGCTTTATGTTATTAGGTGTAAAGAATGTGTATGCTGTGCCTGTTTTGGTACTGCGAGCAGTTCTTCCAATTCAATGAATATAATCCTCTGAGGAGTTAGGGTAGTCATAATTGATGACAAATTTCACATCTTCCATATCTGTAAGGTGTTACAGTGTGGCAAAATAGTAATGTACGGAGTTTTGCACACCACAACAGCCAGACCAAAAATAAAAAGTTAGGCAATTGGATTCCCAAGAAAGTATGGGCTGCAAAAAATAGTTAAAATGGTTATCCATTCTCTGTAGGAATACCGTTGAGGTTGGGGGGAAAAAAAGCACATGTCATCTGTTTAAGGAAAAACTTTTGAAATATTAACATAAGCACTGTAATCTTTCTCCCAGGATATTAATTTTTTTAAACGGTTATCTTTAACTGGAATGGTCATTAGGTACTTTGGCAAGATTTTGTTCTCTAGAGATCTCAACAAGTCAAGATTTTCTCTGGAGAGGGGCCATGCCACCTCTACAGAGGACTGTGTCAGTTCTGCCTTGTTATCTATTTGTTGTCTTCTTGAGATCATTGGTGAAGAGATCAGTGTGACCCTAATAACTTCCATTTCTTGAGCACTCTCCATGTGCCAGTTACCTCCCTGAAGTGTTTTCATGTACATTTTCTTAGTTGGCTTCTGAGATATCCTTAGCCGGCAGCCCACAGTTTCTGCATAATTGTACCTCTATCTCTTGAAACTCATTTTGAACACACATTCTTACTCACTACACCTTAGTCTCCTTTTAGCTCCTTGAATGTTTTTCCCACACTCAAGGAATTTGTTGAAATTATTTCTTCTGCCTATAATTCTTTCTGCCATAAAATCCTTCTCAGTTTTTGAGTCACAGCTTAAAGCTTAGTTTGCCAAAGATGCTATTCATTACCACTCTGCCTAATATAGATATCCTCCTGTCAGACTCTCTTTTGGTCCCTTGTGTGTATACTTCATAGCTAGCATATTTATCACAATTTGTAACTATTATATCTATTTATTTGAATCTTGCCAGTTTCCCCGGTGATAACATAAGATTGGGAGAGAATAAATTATTCTGGATTTTAACCACCAAATCCCCACCTCCTTATACAGCATTGGGATATACAGATATTCAATTATTATTTGTGGTATGAATGGATCAATAATTATTGTTTTTTTCTTCAGTCATGAGAAAAACTGAGGCACAGAGAAGAAAGGTGAGTTATCCAAGGTGACTCAGGTAACTATTGATAAAGGACATGGTCTTAAGTCTGTCCAACTCTTATTTCTGTGCCCTTTATGCTGTACCTTACTTGCATTCACTTATTCATTCATGATTTTCAAGTATTTTTCATTGCAGACATTGATGCTGATATATATGGATATAATGATATATATGAATATAATGATAAGCAAAAACAAGCAAGACCACAAAAATAACAGGGATCTGGGAAACTAGAGGCCTCATCAGCTTAACTTAGTTCTCCCCAAAATCACCCTTCCCCCTAGGAGATAAGAGTGAAACCCATGCCACTGCACATCTTGAAAACGTGTCTATAGACTGAGGCATTTAATTGCTTCTACAGAGGGTACTCCAGAAACGAGGGAGATCAAACCTCAGAATTTAACTCTTGTTGCCTTTACGTCACTGGATCTTTTGCAGGCATACCCCAGCACTAGCCTGACTGTGGTAACCCAAGAGGGCGGCTAGACCCAGAAGAGCAGCAGGACTCACAGTTGTTGGGTTCTCACAGATGACCAGACCCAGGGGTGGAACATTGCACCACATAAGGGAAGTACCCTAAGGGACAAAAATTAAAATTAAAAAAATCCCTGAGTGTATCCCTCTCTGTACCCCAGACCTCCCCACCTAAGGGAACTTTCTTTCAGCAGAGATGTAGACACAGTGCTGGGTTCAGTGGGTGAATGTGGCAGTTCTACACCAGCAGTTGAACAGCCTATGAAGAGTTTTGGAAAAGGAGATTTCTCCACCCTCTTACCCAGTCACTGCAAATACTTTCTTCTCTTGTGGGAGCTCAGTGTGAGGGTCCTGTTGACACCCTTTCTGTAACATAATGGGGTGAGTACCAGCCCAAGGGAGGTGTACACTTTGGGCTCAAACTTGTACAAGTGATGGAATCACACTTTCTCTCTACATGGAACATCAACATTCTCACAGAGAGACGGAGGTGCATGTCTGATCCGAAAATATGGAACAAAGGGACAGGTGGATAATGAAAATGTGGACCACTTTTCTGCCAGCCTACTAGTGGATCTGAGGTGGCTCCCCACACTCCTGGTCAAGACCTCAGTTCATCTCACTTCCCCAGTTGCCTCCACTGGGGATAAGGCTTTAGTCCACCCTATAGGTATCACATATACCACCCACTTTAGTTTTGACCCATAGGTGATTCCTCATGACCGTCTGAATGGTTCCACCAGAGAAAAAATTCTGGGGGAAAAGAAGAACGCACAAGCACACGACACCACTAGGGAACAACATAGCTTCATAAGTCCTCTGGCATCCTAGACATATAGGAAGCAGTGAACCTACACATATGCCATAATTGTGACTATAAGCCACATTTGAGGAAGTCAATGCATAACAAGTTTCTATAACCAAGGAACCCATATGGAGACTATACCACTGACGGTACCCAGGGAAGAAGCTAGATCAGTATGAAGTACAACACATCAAAGTCACATACCTAAGACATGGAAAAAAGGGAATTAAAAGCAAATTTAACAATAAGAAGAAAAACAGTCTACCCACAGGAGAAGGACCAGAAACAATCTTGGCAATATTAAAGAACAGAGCTTTTCAACTTCCCCAAAAGATCACATAAACTCTTCAGTAATGGATCCTAACCAAAATGAAATATTTGAAATTCCAGAGACAGAATTCAAAAGGTTGATAATAAAATTGTTCACTGAGATCCAAGAAAAAGTTAACAACAAACTTAAAGAAATAAAAAGTACCACTTGGGAAATGAATTTAAAATTATCCAATAAAAACACCAAACTGAACTCTTAAAATACAGACTTATTTAGGGAAATACAAAACACAGTGGAAAGTTATAACAGTACACTGAAAAAAGTAGAAGAACAAAATCAGAACTTAAAGCGAAGGTTTTCAAATTAACCCAATAAAACAAGTATACAGAGAAAAGAATCAGAAAAACTGAACACTGTTTCCAAGAAATGTGAGACTGTGTAAAATGTTCAAACCTAAGAATCATATGTGTTCCTAAGGAAGAAGCAAAAGCAATGGGTTTGGAAAACATACTTGAGTGAATAACTGAGGAAAACTTCCCTGGCATTGCCAGAGATGTAAACATCCAGATACAAAAAACAAAAAGAGCTCCTGGAAAATTCATTGTAAAAAGGCTCATCCACAAGACATATAGTTGTTAGGTTATCCAAAGTCAGCATGAAGAAAATCGTTCTAAGAGTAGTGAGACAAAATCGTCAAACAAATCATGAAAGTAGACCTATCAGACTAATAGCATACTTCTCAGCAGAAAACCTACAAGTCAGAATAGATTAGAGTCCTATCTTTAATTTCCCAAAATAGAATAACTATCAGACAATAATTTTGTAATCCTCACAACTTTTATAAATAAAGGAGAAATAAAGTTTTTCTCAGACAAGAAAACGCTGAGGGAATTTGCCACCATTAGACCAGCTCTACAATAAATGTTCAAAGGAGTTCTTTACATTGAAACAAACTATATAAATTCACAAGTAGAAAAACACTGGAGATTGTCAAACTCAGAGGCCTTATAAAACTCCAACACAATGGAGATAACAAAGCAACCAGGTAACAATCAACATGATGAATGGAACAATATTTCATATACCATAATTAACTTGGAATGTAAATGATCTGAATGCCCCACTTAAATGATATAGATTGACAGGATGGATTTTTACAAGTCAGAAAATCTACTGCCTTCAAGAACCCAAGAGACTTTCATAGACTCAAGGTAAAGGAGTAGAAAAAAATATTCCATGCAAATGGAAATGGATCCCATGAAAACACAAAAGACCATTTGAGATTATTATCAAAACTTCTATGCAAACAAACTAGGCAATTTAGAGGAAATGGACAAAATCTTGAAAACATACAACCCACTGACATTGAATGAGAAAGAAGTAGAAAACTCTAATCGACCCTTAATGAATAGTAATATTGAATCAGTAATCCAAAGTCTCCCAACAATAAAAATGCCTAGCATCTGATGAATTTGCAACTGAACTGTACCGACTTTCAGAGAAGATATAGAACCAAACCTACTGTAGCTATTTCATAAGATTTCATGGCAGGAAATTCTCTTCAATTCACCCTGTGAAGCCAGTATCACACTGATACCAAAGCCAGGAAAAGACACAAGAAAAAAATACAGGCTAATATCCCTGATGAACATAGATGTAAAAATCCTCAATAATAATAATAATAGTGATAATAATAATTCAACATGATCAAGTGAGTTTTATCCCAGGTTTGCAAGGAACATATGCAGGAAAAGCATTTTATATAATCCAGAACCACCTCATAATAAAAACTCTTAGAAAAATAGGCATAGAAGGTAAATATCTCAAAATAGTAAAAGCCATGCACAACACACTCACAGCCAACATCATACTGAATGGAGGAAAGTTGAAAGCATTCCTCCTCTGAACCTGTGTACTCAGCAAGAATGCTCATTTTCATCACTTCTATTCAACACATTACTGGAAGTC